TGGATCACAGATATGTTATAGAACAAGAAGGGTCTTCTATTTAAATTTACCTTCAGGGTGACAGAAAGAGCTCAGGCTGATTCAAAACTGAACTCTATACTTGCCAAGAGAATGACATTGAGAGGGGTACCTGGGCAGCTCAGTTGGTTAAACAACCAACTCTTGATCTTAGCTCAGGTCTTGATCTTGGGGTTGTGAGTTCAAGCCCCATGATGGGCTCCACACTGGGGGTGGAGCCTACTTAAAAAAAAAAGAGAGAATGACATTGAGAAAGTCATTTAACCTCTGAAGCTCAGTTTTCTTATCTCTACAATGAAGAGAGAATTCTGATCTTACAGAGTTTTCGTTATATAAAGTGCCTCTACAGTGCCTGGAGTTCAACAAATGTTAAGTGGCTTCTTTCTCTTTCTGTTACCTTTCTTGTCCCCTTCCTCAGCAAGAACTGTAAGAAAAAGTTACCCCTCCCCCATCTTCTCCAGCCTGGTACTTTGGTAGAAAGTACAATAAAGTGGTTAGAATTTGGCCGCTGGTGTCAGACTGACCAAGTGATGACTCATGGCCCTTTGTGAACCTGGACACACTCTTTAACCTAAGACTATTTATAAATCTGTAATAATGTGAAGATACTATTTCTACCTCATAGGGTTGCTACCAGGATTAAATAAGCTAAATACAAGGTGTTGAGAGCAGTGCCTGACATATGGTAAACAATGCAGCCATTGCTATGATGGTGTGAATTTTACTTGCAGAAAATCAGGTTACACTGCAATTTCCTTGATCTCCTTATTGTCATTGTTAACAATCTTCTTTTTCTTGCACACTTCATCTTTTCAAGAAAATAGTTGCATGCATTTCTCTTCAGACATGGAAGAAACTGAAAGGCTTCCTCTCAAAAGTAATGAAGGTAAATGTGATCAATGGATCCAACTGGCTGCCAGAAATGGAGTAGTGGAACCGAATATCATCAATTCAAGGTATTGGACACCCACACATTGATCTGTGACCTGCTTTTGATTATAGGTCAATAGCTCCCCGTCCCTCATTCTATAGATCAGAGGGATGTTGAAGTACTTTCTATGGACTGAGTGGTTTGATATGCCCTGTGAAGACAGTCAGGTGAGGATTAGAATTGGCCTTTTGTACCATCCTCAATGACAAGCACAGTATACGCATTAAAAATTTCCACTGAACGAATCAATCAGTAAAACTCCCTTTGTTAAGTGCCTTGGCACTACAGGATTAACTCTAGGGGCTATAGCTCACATTGCATTTGAGAACACAGGACTAAAGTGTATGGCAGGGGCACCTGGGTGGCTCAGTTGGTTAAGTGTCCGATTCTTGGTTTCAGCTCAGGTCATGATTTCATGGTTTGTGGGATCAAGCTCCACATTGGGCTCCATGCTGAGAGTGAAGTACCCACCTGGTATTCTGTCTTTCCTCTCCCTCTGCCCCTCCCCTGCTCATGCTCACTTTCTCTCTCTCTCTCTCAAACTAAATAAATACACTAAAAATAATAATAATATAGTGGATGGCAAACATAGTAAATAAGAGATTGGGCTCCAGGGTGGGAATATTTGACTACTGGTTCCATCAGCGCTTTAAGCCTGTGCCTTAAGCCTGTCACTTAACTTCTCAAAATCTCAACTTCCTCATCCACAAAGTGAGGAAAAAATAGATGAACCTAACTAGTAAGGTTCTCACAAGATTAAGTGAGATAATGCTTGTAAAGAGTTTAGCAACAACTAGTGTTCAATAAATGTAGTGATGATGATGATTACCATTTCAAGTAAGAATTACTAAATGCTATACAATATTATACTGTTTAAAACACACAGAGAAGAATTCACAAAAGGGGAGATCAATGTGGCACTAGGTTGAGTATGCATCTTAACCACAGGATGGATGTTTCTTAGAGAAGATAGGTTCTGAGTCCAACCTTAGAGAAAGGATAGGTCTAGATCTGCAAAAGTCACGTTCCATGGGCAAAGAAGAGCCAGGAGGATGTGATCCCTGAATATTCAGAAGACACAGGAGTGAGTAAAACACAGAATTTTGAGTATGTGCTCCATGGGGAAGAAAAGGGGACATTTCAAAGTCTAGTGTGGAAATGGTGGACAATCTCAGAAAAACAAGCTACCTGGTGAGAAAAACCAGTGGAGCCAAAGCCATGGTGTGGTAGGTGAGCACGGGCTTTAGCACAGACAGACCCAGGTATGAAACCCTCAGACAAATTATCTAACATTTCCAAGACTCACTAGTCTCATCTTTGCTACAGGGATACTTTCATCTACCTTGCAGAGTTTCGAGGAAGATTAAATGAGATACTGAAGTTAAAACAGTCATGTAAGTGTCTGACTCAATGTCAGCTTGTGTGAGCATCTAGCAATATTCTAAGATAAGCAAACACTAAAAGAGTTACACAAATTCACCTGGACAAACACTTAACCTTAGGTGAATTAGAAAAAGTTTTTCTTCATTCAGGGTCCTAACTCTCATCACTGATTTCTGTTGGAACTTAAGTACTATAATAATTGCCAGGTATTATCATTATCATGGATTAGATAAAGCTATCATTATCTCAGTTACTCCTCACACAATCCAGGAGACAAAAATCATTTTTATTTGTCCCATTTTACAGATTAAAAAAGAAAACAAAAAAACAGTTTAGAGAGATTAGTCACTTGTCCAAGCTCACAATCAATGACAGAACCAGGATTGAACCAGGGCAGCCTGGCCCCAAAGATTGTGAGCTTCTGATTGTGGCAGTTGACAGACTGCAGCAGACCCATCTGAGACCCTCGGACATGTTCCTCCTGAGCCAGACCTGCTATGACAGCATGGGCCTCACTAGCTGCATTCAAGAAAGAAAAATAGTTCTGCAGGGAAAAGTGAGCTTAGTTAGGTATGTGGCTGGACAGAGAAGAGGCTCCTTCTCTGTAATTTAATTCTCATTTTAATGCATAGCAAACAAACCTTTCCATCTTCGTGCACTCCAAATCTGGCCTCTGCTACAGGGAGAAGTGCCTGTTGAAGCCATTGTCCTAAAATGGCAGACACTGAATGCCTTCAAAACACAGAATCCTTAAGAAATAGGTTCAGTTGTGCCAAGTGACATTAATTGCATAGCCCAGCACTATCAATTGGAGTCTTGTCTGTAAAAAGAAAAGCTTGCCCCCACAGGCACTACTTAGAAAATATTTGCTCCTTTGCTGAGCCAAAATAACTGAAAATCAAATTCGAGAAAGTTCCAGAAAATCTGAAGAGGATTCAGTGAAGAGTGGAAAAAAAGATTAAAATATTAAACTACTGGTTCTCAATTCTGTTTTCTTCGCAATTGTCTCCATACATTCTCCTCAGGTCTCCCATAACTAATCTAACTTTCTTACCTCTAATCTCCCAAAGCAAGGGGTGGTAGAAGGAAAGAGGAGAAAGAGATAAAAGCAGGAGACAAGGGAGAGAAGGAGTGTCTTGGAAGGAAAAGGGGAAGAAGGAGAATCATGGAAGTACTACACATTTCAGATCTTAGGTCAAAACCAGGGGTAGCTAAGATAACCAAGAAAGAGAGCATAAAATATATAAAGTTCCCAGGATTCCAGCAGAGGAGCATCCTTGTGTATTACAAAGCCAAGAGAATAATCAGGTTTCAAGTAGGCTAGAAACAAAGAAGCGAAAGAAATGTGGCGATGAAATCATCCATGCTGTCAATAGCTAACCACTCACCAAGAGACCTTGTCAGACCTCCCCAAGCCCACAGGGCATCTGGGCCTCAGGGCTCCCAGCAGTGTTTGCAATGGTGTCCTGTAAGGGGAAGGCAGACCTGGTATCTGATCACAGTGAAGTGTGTATTTATTTAGATGTTGGCCTGAGTATCTTTGGAACAGAGACTATACTCTATTCACATATGCAGACAGTTGGTATCTAATAAGGGTTTGCTGGAAAGTAGGGAAGAAAAGAAGGAGGAGGGGGAGGAAGAAAGAATGAAAGACAGAGACTTTCAGGAAACAGCTCCTCCTTATCTCAGTCAGCATGAGTCAGATAGTAATTTGGGTCTCGTACCAGACATCTCATCCTTCAAATCTAGTGTCTACTTGCCCTGACAGTTAGGAAAGAGAAAAAAAGCAAAGTGATTCATTATCGTATCTTTTCACTAGAAAGTCTGAAAATTAACAGCAGCCAAAATTGCAAATAACTAAAACTCAAAGGCAGATATTATGAACTTAATAAACCATTGTCTCTCAAATAATTGTTCTGAATGAGCTTTTAAAAAATTGTATCCCTTTTACATCTCCATCTGTCTCATGCTAAAACACCCTCAACTTTTAGCATATTGCCTTTGAAAGCTTAACTAAAGATTCAGATGGATAACTAAAAAACAAAAAATGCAATAGTAACAATACCTTACATTCTAGCTATCAGTCTTCCTTCACCTTCAATCATCACAACGAGGCTCTGAGGTTGGTGGAACAAGGAGTATTGTCTCTAGCCATAAATGTGGAAACAGACGGGAAAATCACAGCACACAGTAGACTGAGCAAGATGAAAACCCAGGACTCTTGAGTCTGAGCTTAGCTCTCATCCTGAAGCCAGGCTTACAGTAGGGATGTTCTAGGATGTTGTCTGGGTGTGTAGGTTGAGGCAGAGAGGGAAGCAAAATATTGCCCAACTTCTTACCTATCAGACATGCTCTTACCTATACTAATGTCTTCACTGTATGAGATAGACTTTTACTGTTCTCATGCAGCTGTAGTTTTCAAATTTCTTCTACCAGAAGGACCTTTTTATCAATATTTCATGCTGAAGCCCTCTAATACCAAACAGATAAAAGTGAAGATAAAAGGCACTGGTTGGAAGAGCTGGGAGACTTGCAAGAGGTTTGGTGACAGGGGCCATTGGCCTGTTTCAACACCAAACACATGAAAAACACCAGGATACTACCAAACAAAGACTGAAGACCATGTCACAGAGCATGGAGTGAGGACAGCAAGGACTTCACAGTCCGACTGATTCCAATTACAAGTCCACCACATGCTCCCTGCATGCACTGAGGAGGTAATCAACCTTCCTGAGCCTCTGTTGCTTCATCTCTAGAAGAGTCCTCGTAATACCTGCCGGGTGAGTCTTTTGAGGATTAACTCAGGTACCCAAAGTGACTCACAGATCACAGTGCCCAGCACACAGCAGGTACTCAGGCAGTGTCCTTCTAGAAGTACCTTGCCAAATCTCCACATTTTTTCTGATAAAATAGATGTGTTCTGGTTCCCTTAGAGGGTATAAATTCCATTTGTTCTCTTAAATCCAGCTCGTGCCTTTAACACTCGAGGGCTTGTACTACTCCCACAAACATTTAGCATTTTCTATTCAGTTAGCACAGCACTGAGACTTTAAAAGCAGCTTGAAAACAAACTTGATTCCAAATATGATTTATAATGTCCCAAGCAACAGCTCATTTACCCAAGAAAGCTCCATCAATTATTGACAGATGTACCCTCGGAGGAGAAGTAGCATTAAGACAAGGAGACACAGGGAAAATCGTGCTTCAACCCCTTAAGCCAATTATCCAAGGTGATTCTGAGCATTAAATCCTTAGATATGCTTAATTTACTGTCCTTGCCTGTAAGCACAGAAAGAATTGTGAGAAGGGGGAAAAAATGCTATGCAATTTAGAACTGCTTTTAAAAACAAAGAAAAAGAATAGCATAGAGAGGAAAAATATATAGGAAGCACTATGTGGGTGTTGAACGCATGTGGGCTTACAGATTGAACATCCCCAGCCCTCGCACACCTTGCCCTCTCATTGCAGAACCAGTTACTCCCCACCTGCCTTTGTTCAGTAAAGAAATAATTGCACTTACCTGCCTCTGACCTAATAATTACAGCAGGGCCTGATTTTATTCTCAGCATGTTTATTGTGGTCGAATTTCCATGGTGTTCAGTGCAAAGGCCTTACTAAGGATGCTAGCATTATTTGCTTTAACATCAAGCTAGCGACAAGGCTATGTAAGGTTCTGTAAAAAGCCAAGAGGCCAGTGTGAACCCAGCCTGTGGAGGCTTGTAATCTGCATTTGACATGCCAATATTAGAAAACCTTGGCAAGACCATGAGGTTCACATGCAAGGGAAGAAAGGGAGTGCATGAGGCCAAGAAATGTAAGGATGCTAATACATTTCTCCATAGTTTGCTCAAAAGGAGAAAAACAGGAGAGAGGTGGTTTTTTTTTTTCTGAAATCTAAATTATAAGGCAAGCGGTGGCCAATTATGCCCACTTAGCTTTAATTTGCCTGTACTGAGGAGTGTGTGTGTGTGTGTGTGTGTGTGTGTGTGTGTGTGTAAGTGAACATGCACACATAAGTACAGTGTATATATGCTGTGGACAAGCATGGGTAGATGGAAGTAAAGAAATTTGAGGGCATGGAGAAGAGGTCTAACCTATATAAAAAGTCTTAAATGATGAATTGAACATTTCTATATTAAGAAAATAAATCCTGCCGTAGGAGACCTGAAAAATTACTACCCTGACTTTTAATGCAATCTGTGGTTTAAAGTACAGTTATAGAACATTCTAAAATTACCTGCTTACACCTCATGACTTGGCAGAATGATTACAGGCTAGATTATTTCATCTTTTTATACTTTTTTATTAAGAATTAAGAGATCCACTATATTGGGTTATTAAAAGCCTGATCTCTTTTAGCATATTTTTTATCCCATTATTAAATAGTTCATATAAAATATAGTAAGCCTTGACTTTTTTTTCTAAAATTTTTTTTTTGAACGTTTTATTTTATTTTTGGGACAGAGAGAGACAGAGCATGAACGGGGGAGGGGCAGAGAGAGAGGGAGACACAGAATCGGAAACAGGCTCCAGGCTCCAAGCCATCAGCCCAGAGCCCCACGCGGGGCTCGAACTCGCGGACCGCGAGATCGTGACCTGGCTGAAGTCGGACGCTTAACCGACTGCGCCACCCAGGCGCCCCAGTAAGCCATGACTTTTGAAGCTTTAGCTTCTTAATTTCAGATTCACAATCAACCTGTGGGTGCTTGATATCATTCAAATGATTTCAAAGCTACTGCCTCATCTGATCGACACCTGGATTCCTAACCATGTCTTCTGATTCCAGTCTAGTATGCATCCCACCGAATCACAACCTCCTATCGTTGCCTTGTCATCAAGTCTTTGAGGGATTGTGGATCAGGGATGGAAGGAGCGAAGGAGTGACAGACTCGTTGGTAATACAGAATGGTATATCACTGGCTTGCTGTTAGAGGTATATGCTTTTATTCTTTTGGGACTCCCATTTCTCTAAACGTGAAACTGAAACAAGAGTATGGGATCTTTATTATTATTATTATTTTAGAGAGAGTGGGGGGGGGGGGTAGAATCTTGAGCAGACTCCTTGCTCAGTGAGGAGCCTGATACAGGGCTCGATCCCATGACCCTGGGATCATGACCTGGGCTGCAGTCTAGAGTCGGATGTTCAACCAACTGAGCCACCCAGGTGCCCCAAGAGTACAGGATTTTTAATCAACTCAGAAAAATGTTATCAAGGATATTAAGTATTCTGCACCTTTTTGAGATGACTAGTTATTTTAACAATGCTACAATTGCTTCACAACTTGTGTTAGAGGAGAGAAGCAGTCTAGGCTGGGGGGAGTCCTCTTTGGGGTCACTATCATCCTTGGGACACATTCTTAACATCCTCAAAATTTCATTCTTTAAGGGCTGAACACTTTTTACCCTTAAGAAGCATATTTGAAATAGCCAAAAGTTATTCAGAGCCAAGAGTGATAAATAAAAAGATCAAACTGGATAATATCAATAGTATCATCATATAAGATGTGACTATAAGGTAAAAGTAACTTATCATCTTGAGTAACGTGTAAGCTGTTTTTGAACACAATTGCAAAAGAGAACTCCAAAGGGTTAAAATAGAAAGCAAATATCAAGAACATATTTCTTCCATTCACTAGATGAGAAAACTGATTTGGAAAATGAGCCCTCAGCCTGGACTATATGTGTACCCACATATACGTGTACATGCACCTGTGTGTGCCTGTACATACGTGTGCATGCATTCATACAAGCACATGCCACAAATGGGGATTGCGTTCATTCACATATCATTCTGTAAGAACTGTTACTTACTTAGTCTGTTCATGTGAGCACCTGAATCTCAAGTACAGCTGTCATGACCCCAGAGCAGACTTGTATCTTCATATTCCGGGAACAATATTACTGTTCCTGACTTAAAAAAAAATAAGGAAATTATGTGTCATCTCTTACTTTTTAATTAGAACTATATACTTATCCAAACAGTGAAGCATGAAAATATAAATAAACTATGCATTAAATGCAAGGTTTTGGATCTTAACTTGCAAACAATACCTACTAGATACAAATAATATTTTTTGAAGTTTTTAGGAAATGGAATGAAGTAGGTAAAGCACCTTCTAGTTTGTGTATGAGAGTACTTCTTGCAAAGGTTTTCTTCTCTTGGAAACAACAGAAGCCAAAAATCATAATGATCACCATGCACGTAGGGAGTATGATTTAGCACAGAATTATATTATGAATTTTAAAAAATTGTGTGAACTATGAGTTCACAGCAAATTTGTTTCTCTGGAGACTGGGACAGCAATTCTGGAACCACTTTCTCTTTTACTAGGGGTTAAACAAAGTAAGTAAATATATTGTAGATAACAAGGACCAAGTTTCTCACGCTCAGGAAAGAAGTCACAAATAAGGAAAGAAGGAAGAACAATGACACCCTAGCAGCAATGAACACACCTACTGCTCAGATCTTAGTTTCTAAAAGCCATTCTCCAAAAAAAAAAAAAAAAAAAAAGGAACCAAAGGGTTTCTTGGAAGAAGTGGTTAATTCCAAGCCTGAGGCTAGGAAAATACAAGATGAGTCTGGAGCATCTTAAAATTCTAAAAAGTAAAGAAATGCTCAAAAAAAGGATGGGAGAGGAGCACCTAGCTGGCTCAGTCAGTAGAGCATGCGATTCTTGATCTCAGGGTCATGAGTTCAAGCCCCACATTGGGTGTAGAGATCACATACATTCATACATACATACATACATAAATTTAAAAAAAATAAGGATGGGAGGATGTGGAAAGGCCACAGGAGCCAACCTGAAAGAGCTTACGATGACCAAAAGTAGAACAACGTGAGCAACAAAAACAAACAAACAAAAAAATGATAGCATCGTATTATATCTCATAGAATAAAGCAAGTTAATATACATGCATCTATACTGATATAACTAATTGAATAAATAAGTAAATGGAAAAAAGATAGCTCTCTCTTCAAATGAATTCTAATTAATAAATGTGAGGGCGTGGGAAATGAGGGAATAGAAAATCACTCTTAAAACACTACAACTTGTTGCAGGCAAGATCCACAGATGAATGCTAAAATGGTGGATGAAAGTTGGAGAAGAAACAAGTCATTTTCATAGTATAAAGTATCTCTGCCCAAGATATCGATTGATTACAAAGGGGAAAATAATAACACTTGAGACACCTGGCAGCTGCCACCTGAACCAAGTAACCAAAGTTCACACCACCAGTGATAACACATCTGGCTCTGAGAAGGGCTCATCACTGTGTTATTCTTCTTGGTAATGCATACCCTCAATCTAGTCAAGGGAAAAACACCAGATAAAACCAAATTGAGGGTTAAGTCTTCACAATAACAGCTGACCAGAACTTTTCAGAAGTATCAAGTTCATGAAAGACAGGGAAAGAGAAAAACAGTTGTAGAGTGGAGGAAACTAAGCAGACATGACAACCAAATGCAGTGAGACCTGAGACAGAATCCTAGAACAGAAAAAGGACATTAGTGGAGAACCTGCTAATATCAAAATAAAATTTGTACTTGGGTTAATATTATTGTGCGAAGGTTACATTCTCCATTTTGACCATCGTACTGTGATAATAAGACTAACTGTAGAGGAAGCTGGGTGAAAAGTACATAAGAAATATCAGTACTATTTTTACAACTTTTCTGAAGCGTAAAATTAAAAATTAAAAATAACTTTAAACTGATAAAATAATCTAATCAGAAGAATATTATGATTTATTAAACTATACTTCTATGTCCTATGAAATAGTGAGTTCATTATCATTAGAGCTCTCTGAGCCTTAGGGAAAATAATCCAAAAATGTATCATCTTCCTGCTTCTGATACAACAGCCATGAGGGAGAATGACCAGAGGAAGATGGTTTTGACCTGATAAATAGGAGCACCGTTTTTTAGGGTCCCTGGTCCCTGGTTATATTCTGGGGCTAATGTGTTTGGCAGTTAGGTGACATCTGAGAACCTACTGTGTTATTCCTACTCTCCGTAGGTGGGAAAAATTGAGTCCTGATTCATGTTTATAAGAAATGATGGGCTGTTGACAATAAAAATAGCACTTTTTAAGAGCTTACTACATGCTAGAACATTCCAAACTCTTTACATATCTGATTCATCTCTCACAATAGCCCTATCAAGTAAATATTATTATCCCCTTTCTACAGATAGGCAAGGGTATAGAGAGGGGAAATCAGATAAAGAAAAGGTATGTTTCTGGGAAAACCATGGAGAAAACCATGGCCCATCTCTTCTTTTCTGGTCATCTATTTACCAATCCTGCACTGGCTGGTGTTTTACCTGCCTAACTGAGATATACCCTATTTTAACTAATTGCCCAGACTGAAGTCTTTTCACACTAAAAACAGATCAAGTAGATCTATATGAAAGAGCCATACATGGGGAGACATCTCCTCTGGCTGGACCCTGAGTCCCAGAGCCCACACCACCTTCCTCCTTCACCAAAAGTATGAGCATACTTTCTCTAGCCCCAGGACTCTAGTCAGCTTATGGCAGAAAACATGTTAAGAAATAATACCTCCTCTAGGCATGAAAAAGTCCTCTCTCTCTTGCTGGACTAGTCACTCAGACTGAGATTTCACCCTTGGAAATGAGTAATTACTTGTTGTCCAGCTGTATATTCATTTCCTGAGAAAATGGAAGTTGGCACATATTTTCCCTGTTTCTCTGTGCTTCTTCCGGTTATGATAGTAACTATGCTTCACATTATTTGTATAGTGCTCTTGGTTTATAAACTTCACTCACCAACTGTACCTGGTCTTCAAAATCAACCTTAGAGATTAGTTCATATATCATCAACAAATATTTATTAAGTGCTTGCTATGTGTCAGGCCCTAGGAATGAAACAGTCACCAGGAACAATGTCATCTTTGCCCACTCTCCTGGAGTTGACATTACAGTGAGGAATTCAAGCAAAAAAACGAAAACAAACAAACAAAAAAAAACCTAAACATATACTTAAAAGAAGTATAAACTCTGGTATTGAGTAAAAAAAAAAAAAAAAAAAAGAATACTATAAAAAAATACCCAGGCATAACATGGAGAGACCTACGTCAGAGAGATTAGTCAAGGCATCTCTGAGAAGGTGATGTTTGATGAGAAGCAGGCAGCCCTGCAAAGTTTGGCAGGGGAGGGGGGTGCCTCTCATTCAGAGGAATCAGCATGTGCAAGGGAGGGCTGGGAAGGGTGAGAAAACAGTTTGGCACATTCTGTAAACTACCAGAAGGTAAATTCCTCTGGAAAACTGGGAACAAGAGGGATAGAGGCCTGAAATGAAGTCCCAGAGGAAAGCAAAGAGTATGTGGCATCTAGGGCTGGTGCTTAGAGGCTTTTTCTAATGGTTTTCTTCCAAACACAATGGAAAGAGCTGGCAATACTATGGTTATTTTACAGGTGAGTAAAACTAAGCTCAGAGAAATTACGTGTCTTGTCTGAATTCTTAGCATGCATATGGCTCCATCCCAGGACTTTCCATTCCTTTCTTCTCTCCAGATGGGTGTCCACTGCATGCTACATGCACATTACTACTGGCTAGATAAGGTATAGTTTTAATCTCATTTAGATTAAGTCTGGAAGTGGGAAATGGCCTTGTGAACAAATGCAATAAAATATTACAGTCTCTATGTCCAGAAGTCTCCACAAAATATAGAGGAGACTTGAAGAGGGAAGAAATCAGTTCTATGCGGGTTAGGCAGAGAGAGACAGAGAGTTGGCATTGAGCTCAGCCTAGAAGATTAATATTTATAAGGAAAATGGGGGGTGGGGGATCATCAAAGCAGGTTGAGCAAAGATACAGAGAATTAAACAGCCTGGTAGATGCTGGAAATAGCAAGCTACTTCTGGCATGGAGTGAGGGGGGGCACTC